GGAGGAGAAGGAGGACATCAGGAGTAAGAAGTAAAGAAAGGTATGCAGACATAAAGATAAAATCCCAGAGGCATAGATAGACAGGATAATTTAAGAAAAGCTGGCTAGAATCAAGCCAAGATAAGGCTGGTCATTCATAAGTAAGGTAAGCCTCTGTGTGATTTATTTGGGAGCTGGTGGGCCCCCAATGTGCAAAAGAGTAAAACACAGCAACAGTTGATCTCTCTCCCTCTTTCTCCCTCCCTCCCTCCCCTCCCTCCCTCTCTCTCTTTGCCTCTCTCTCTCTCCCCTCCCTCCCTCTCTCTCTCTCTGCCTCTCTCTCTCCCTCCCTCCCTCCCCTCCCTCCCCCTCTCTCTCTCTGCCTCTCTCTCTCTCTGTGTACTGAGTTCAAACCTAGAGCATCACATATGCTTGAGCTGTACTCCCAGCAATACTCCTCATGACAGCACATTAGACATGCTACGTTTGTTCTTCTACTATTCAATTAAAGTGGAAGCAACTGTCCTACATCGCACCACATCTTCTGTATGCTGTCTCCCAAATGTCCCCATGGGTGAACACATGGGTGTACCACTGCTTCTGCACAAGGAACCGGGGCCGCCCTTCTCAGTCTGGTCATGGTAGAAGCTGTGGTTGTGTAGAACCAGGGCAGTCTGGAAGTAAGTCATCAAGCGACAACTCTGGAGATCTGTCAGGAGTAGGAGATGGCATGGCAGGGCTGCTGGGGTCGGGTGGGCGGGGCTGGGTCAGGCCAGGGTGGGTGTGGAGAAGGAAGCCTCAGGGACAAGAGATGGGGGTGGAGACCGGACTGAAGGAAGGGGGCATGAAAGAAAAAGGCAGGAAGTGAATCGGAAGTATAGGGGCAGCATGGGATAGCAGCCGAGGGAGGATTCTGGGTAGAAGGCCCAAGCTACCTGCCAGAAAGCCCTGGAAAGGGACAGAGAAGGCAGGCCCACGGTCTACCCAGCCATTGTTCTCACTAAGGCCCCTTTTCCTGGCCTAAGCCGTTCGGGTTGAGATCTGCATGCACTTTCCATGCTGTCCTCTGATGGGGAGATGGAGAAAGGAATCTGACACAGGGATCCAGAACGGTCTCTAATGTGTTCCATGACTCCTCAGGCCTCAGTCATTTCTCTGACAAGAATGACTCCAGCTCCTCTTGTGAGGATTCAGCGCTACACACCAGTCTTTCCCTGATGGCTTCCACCTTCCTGTTTGGCTAGCATCCTCCACGACCCATCTTAGACTTCCTGCTCTGTTCTCCCCTCCATCTCTTCCACCGTTTGCTGGCCTCCCCATGCTGCACCACCCCCAGCGATTGTTAATTAGATTAGCTGCTTCTCTTTGATCTTGATGAGGGCAAGTCCTATGGCCTTCACACTCCCACCCCATGCTCAGTCTTGGGGTTCACAGTGGAGACGCTAGCGTTTCCTTCCATGGATTGATGAATGAATGGCTGTCAAATCTGAGGTCTGGGGACTGTCCAGAGATAGGTCTGCACAGTGGGACTCAGAAGAGAAAACTGGAAGAGAGACCCAACAGGCCTGTCACTGTGTCCTTAGTGTCTCCCTCTCTGGGGGGGGGGGGACTTACTTGGGTTCTGCATAATCCACAAAGAAGAAGGCAACTGAGGCCTCACCCTGGTAGCCCTTGACAGCCCTAGAAAGAAGCAAGGCCAAGGAAGAACACAGGTTCAAATCCTCAAGATACCAGCCCTAGACAGAGGAAGGCTGCAGGATCCCTGGGACAAAGGCAGGATGCTCCAGGGAGGCCTCAGAGTGGGTGGAACACTCTGGAGACCAAGAAACAAGGACAGAACAAGCTGCTTTGGAAGGCATGCCAGCAAGAGCTCGTCCTTTACCTGATGGAGAGTCAGACACCTAACAAGCAAGAGGGACTGAATCAGATGACCTCTTGGGTCGCTTCTAGCCTAGAAAACCAGGTCAGCAGATAGACAACCGAGCTATGCTGAGAGACTGGGACTGTTCCCTTGGGGGAACTGTCCTTTGTCCTCTGAGTATTCAGAGGGAATCACCTCTTGCCATGTGCCCTGTGGTCACCAGTCAGCAAGCCTTGGGAGTAGGGGCAGAGCTCAGCAGAACAGAGCTGCACACTTGACCCTAGATTCTAATGATTCGTCCGCTGCGGTGCAGCACCAGGCAGCCTGGAGGCTTCGGAACACATCAGCCCTCTCAATGGGGGGGGGGGGGCAGAGGGGTGGAATGCCTGAGAGGGCCTGCCAGTCAAAATTGCAAGCATCTATGTTAAATGTTTGGGAAATGCCAGGTCAACGAAGTCAAACGGAGGTATCTTTGCAGCAGAGCGTCTCTGAACCTCAGGTACCTGAGCATGTTCAAGCGACAGAGGGAGCACATGGAAGCCCTACGCCGTTCCCTCTTTAGGAAGAGGGGTTTCCTTCACTGCTCTCCAGAAAAGAGGAGAGTGATGCCGGGCGGTGGTGGCGCACGCCTTTAATCCCAGCACTCGGGAGGCAGAGGCAGGCGGATCTCTGTGAGTTCGAGGCCAGCCTGGTCTACAGAGCGAGTTCCAGGACAGCCTCCAAAATAATACAGAGAAATCCTGTCTCGAAAAGCAAACAAAACAAAACAAAAAAAAAAAAAAAAGAAAGAAAAGAAGAGAGTGCAACGAGGAGGACTTTGCTTGTGGGACCGATGTGGGAGCAAGTGTAGACGACCACCTTGGGACTTTGGGGAAGGAAGGAGGCTGGGGAAAATGGCTGGAGCTTTCAGGATCCTGCAGGTCTGGAATGAGGGCAGAGGACCAGGGGGCCTGGGTTTGGAGTCTGGTCAAGGGGCTGCAAGGTATGAGGGTTAGACAAGCTCGGCGCCAGCGGTCCTGGGTTTGGAGTTCTGTGGTAAAGGCTGCAAAGGGTGGGGGTGTGGACCAGCTGGGGTGCCGGGTTCAATGGGGGCACCATACTGGAGGCAGGTTCCAGTGGTCTGCAGCCAGGACAAACATTCTGACTAACCTGCTGCCTGTGCCCTGCACCTTCTCTCTTGGCTTGTGCGGGCTGGGCTGGGCTAACCCACCTATCCCATCTCCACCTTCGGGGAGCCCCGAGCCTGGCCCTGCAGTCTCGGGGCACCCTCACCTCTACGAGCGGGTAGGCGATCTCGTTGTAGATCTGTTCCGTGAAGTGGTCCATGTAGTAGGCGCCGTCGAAGGTGAACTGCTTCGGTGGCTCGTCGGCCGCCCCCGGGTTCTGAATGAAGCATTGCCCGCGCGCGCAGTCCACTGTCACCACTGGCAGGCAGCTCAGCTCGCGCTCGCGCTGGTTCATGGGCCGGCAGCGCACCACCACCTTCACTGACTCTGAGGCCATGGCGCCTCGCGAGCCCCGGGGGCGTGGCCCGGTCCAGGGGGTGGAGCCAGAGCCCGCGTTGGGCGGGGCCTGGCGGCGGGGGCGGGGCCGCAGCCGGGAGCCTGGACTCGGCGCTGCGCGCGCTGGGAGCAACAAGTGCGCGGCGGACAAGTCTCCGGGCTGGAGCCCGGGCCGCCGCCTCCCGCGCCCGGGCTCGCCCGTCCCTGAGGCCGGGCCCGGGCGGGGAACGGGGTTCCGCGCTGCAAGCGCCTCTGCACGACCCGAGCCCCGGAGCTGGACGGGTCACGCTCGCGCTCGTGCACGCCGTCTCGGCGTTCGCCGTTGCCGGGCAACGTCCGTGACGTCACAGGGCAGACGGAGGAACGCTGAGTCTGAGTGCGGGCAAGAGGTTGGCTGCTGGCTGGCCTCTTGGTTTGCACTGATGGTAGGGTTGTCTCTGACCCTCCTGTCTCTCAGGCCTCGCAGCTCCAGCCCAGAGGTTCAGCAATCAGGCAGAGGTGGTCAGGCTAAGACCTGAAACCCACGCTTTACTTAACTAACCCCTCAGGGGTTAGAGACTGGGCGGGTAACAATGACTTCACTGTCCCCTGTCCACAGTCCACTGGCAGGGTGAAACTTCTTGATGATAGGACCAGTCTTAAGAGTCCAGATTTTAAACGAAAACTTGACCAGCGAGATGGCTCAGCTGGAGAAAAGCGCTTGCTGCCAAGCCTGGTGGCCTGCATTCTACCCGTGGGACCTACATAGTGGACGGAGAGAAATGACTTGCAAGGGGGACAATACACATAAATGCCTTTTTAAAAATGTTTTTCAAGACACGTTTTTTGTGTTGCCATGGCTGTCCTAGAACTTACTCTGTAGACAGAGATCTGCCTGCTTCTGCCTCTCAAGTGCTGGGATTAAAGACCTGCACCACCACCACCCAGCATAAATGTATTTTAAAGAGCAAAAGACAAAAACTTTAGGATGTAGTCTTTCTGTTGGAAAGCCCACTCAGCCTAACCTCCTGGGCCAGCTGCAATGCTCCAGTGCAGCAAGTGTCAGTCATGTGACAGACACTGTGATGGCAGTCCTCTTGCTGACTGGAAAGGGAAACAAACCCCACAAGCCAAAGAGCATCTTTAAGGGATCTCCTGTCAGTCGTAGGGAGTCGGGACAAGTATCTTAGATCCAGCAGGAGCTCACATCATGTTTATTTAGGCAGGCCTGGGCTCTGCAAAGGGCCTGCTGTGCTTTGCTGGGGCAGTAAGCAAACCTGAGTTACCAGTACAGTCTGAACTCTTTTTTGATTGTGTGTGTGTGTGTGTGTGCGCGCGCGCGCGCGGCGGCGCGCGCGTTTGCAAGTGGTGCACTTGCACGAATGCACAAATATACAGCAAATGTGAAGGTTGGAGAGCAACTTTCAGGAAATGCTGCTCTCCTTCTACCATGTGTATTCAATGGATCAAAGTCAGATCAACAGGTTTGACAGAAAGCACTGGCCTTTGATTCTTTTTCTTAGAATATCTCTTCACCTCTTAATTCAGTTTCTTTCTGGACCCTGGTGGCCAGGACCTCAGTCAGGCTCACCATTCCATACCATCTGTAGTATGTTTGGCAAACGAAAGCAAAACAGGAAAATGTTGATGAAGATCTAGCCACCCAAGGGACTGCAATAGACTGTGAAGAATTGTGTTTTATTTATCTCAAAGTGCACACGGGGGGGGGGGGGCCTTGGTAATGGTTTGAACAAAGAACTATGGTCTGTAATTAAGACACAATCTGAACACATGGGCTCCAAACTGTGTGGTTTGTACTATGTGATCAATAAATGCTTTGGAAAAAATGTTAAAGGGTCTAGGGAAGGCTGGCCCCCTTGGACATGCTGAATATCTCCTGGTATTGTACACATTGGCAATTCACACTATGAACATACCCTCCTGGAGGTGAGCCCTGGCCTAAAGTCCGGGTCAATTAGTTACCAGCTTTCCTTAGGTTTAACTCTCTGGAGTTGAAATCCCAGGCACAGGATATGCTAATCTCTCTGCTCCCACTAGGGACCAGGCCCTACTCAGGGAGTGGGGATGCCGGTGGAAATGGCCATGGGAGGAATCCCACCCACGTTCAGCTCTGGGAAGTGTTATCTGCTGTGAAAGGGTCCTACACCCTTCTCTCCATCCCTCATGAAACATGTCACTTGAAAGAAATGACAATGTCCTTAGCTAAGGGCTTATCCTAGTGTGTGTGTGTGGGGGGGTTCTGGAAGCTGAAAATATCAGGCCTGAACTGCCTCTTACTCCTAGGTTTGTCTCCTTTCTGCTCTGTAGCTCCCATCAAAACCCGTGGCCTTCAAGGCATTGAACACAGGCATCCCCTCCCACCTGTGCCTACACCTGTTTCTAAAAGAAGTCCTGATTTTTTTGTTTTTTGTTTTGTTTTGTTTTGTTTTGAGACAGAGTTTCTCAGTGTAGCACTGCCTGTCCTGGAACTCACTCTGTAGAACAGGCTGGCCTCAAACTCACAAGAGATCCTCCTGCCTCTGCTTCCCGAGTGCTGGGATTAAAGGCATGCGTAACTATCCGCCAGGCTAAGAAGTCTGTTCTTTTGGGTAGATTCATATATTCTGCTGAGTTGACTTAAGGGACACTTGGATTTGTCATTGCTGGCTGGGTCCCTGCCTTCCTCTGAAATGTGTTCCTGGATCTCCCATTGCTAAGGCCACACCCCTCTCTGTGGGGTTTGGGTTAGTTCTAGTTTTCCACTGCAAATGGAGGTGACTTACCAAGGAGGTGACCAGTGCCAGCCACACCCAATGGCCAGCACTGTATTAGAGCCAGCACGAGGTGGTTTCCTAAAACAGCTACCAAACTGACTGTGGTTTGCCTACTGTAGGCCCCACTCAGTGCAGAGACACCAGGAAACGAACCGAGGCTGGAAAACCTGCAATTCTCTAGGCATCTGGTTCCCTATGGGAGCTCTCTGGGGCTCCTCCAGCAAGGGCTGCACCCATATCCATGAACTGCCTACCTGGAAAGCCTCTGTACTAGGACGACAGTGGTGGCCACCCTAAGTCACCTAGAGTTACTAGACATGTAGCTCTACCTGCCTGTTCATCCTGGTATCTCAGTTGGCCCCAGGTCCTGGGAGAAGCCCTGTTATCGCCAACTCCAACTTTAGGGCTCCCCTTCCATGGGCAGTGGGGGATGGAAGGCTGATCAAGGGGCAGACTGACGTGTCTGAAGCTGGTGGCCAGTGAGTGGGGTGCAAGGACAGAGTGACTGTCACAGCCCAGAGCCCAGGGCAAGGCTGGGCCCACAGGGGATTGAGGCCTTGCATCCTAGCCGAGGCCTTGTAGCTCTGCCTCAGACTTGGCATGACTGAGGGGCCGCAGAGTCCGTGGGAGCCTGCCCTCAGGGCCACAATCTTGCTCTTCATAAGTGGGGTTCAGACGGCCCATGCTGAGTGGGCAGAACAGGCTGCGCTCCATCCCGGAGTGGCTCTCCACCAGGGCTTCCAGGCTGGGGAACTCTGCTGGCAGGTGCTGGGGAGGAAGCGTCTTTAGCTCTGGTCCCCTGCCCCATGGCTCCTGCCATGTGTCAGCAGCCCACCCACACCCTGGTCTCCCATCATGTGGAGGCTTAAATTCAGGAAGACGGAATGTGCAGTAACCATGGGGCTACTCAGTCTGGAAGAACCTTGTTCTTCCCAGCCGGGGCAGGACTGAGAACTGCCTTAGGAGGACAGATATCATGTAAAAGCCTTGCCTGGAAACAGATCAGAGACTCAGAGGCTGCGTGCATGTGGGCTGGCTCTACTGGAGGTTACCTCTGAAAGACACCTCTAGAGGGGACAACCTCAGGGGCCAGAACCTCAGTGATTCTCCCTGAACTCTGATCAGCACGGAGTCAGCAACAAGAAAAGGCATGTGCCACCACACCAGCCTTTACTCCCAACACTGGGAGGCAGAGGCAGGTGGATCTCTGAATTTGAGGCCAGCCTGGTCTACAGAGTGTTCCAGGACAGCCACAGAGAAACCCTGCCTCAAAACAAAACCCCAAAAGAACAGAAGCACAGCTAGCAGGGCCAAGGAGGCAGGAGCAGACTAGGAGAAGGGGTGGAGCCAGAGAGCAGCCAGTAAGGGAGCAGGATGGCGTGAGGTGGGCTCAGGAGCTCAGGGGCTGGAAAGGGGCAGAGTAAGAATTGCAAGAGATGGAGCCAGTGCAGGGTAGAGCTGGGAACCCCTTAGGGCTCACCTCTAGGCAGTACCGGCCCAGGTGGTTCCGGAAGACCTGGTGAGGCACCACGCCACACTGGGTCCTTACAGACAAGCTCCACTGGTCACTGGTACCGGGCTCTGGCCACAGTAGGAAGGCCCCATGCACATCTCTCCGCAGCAGGGCAAGAGCACAGGACCTAGGGGGAGGGAGCCAAGGTTAAGGCCAGCAGTCTGATCCCAGACTCCAGACTGTTATCCTGATTAGGGACATACTAGCTCCAAGAGCTTGATGTGCCCTCTGAAGTTCTGAGCCAGATCAGCCACTCAGCAAACAGAATTCAAAGGAACTAAAGGCCTGCTGAGGACTTGACTTGCTGACTTCAAGGCCCTGGTCAGAAGAGGTCTGAGAAACCTCAGGAAGGCTGTCAGCGATAGGTCACACTGAGAGTTTCACCTGTGTCTTGCTGCTGTCCTTAGCCCCATTTCACATTCTGAAAAACTGAGGTTCCAGCAGAGGAAGTCCATGCCCTGAGGTCACCTAGGCTGGGAGCATCCCTCACTCACCAGTTAAAGTCCCTACATTCTGCGTATGCACCCTGTGCAGACATGACAGGGAGTCTACCTCACATTTCTATACCCATCCCAAGGGACAGAGCTCCCTTACCTGGAGAGGCCAGCAAAGGCCCAGATGTTCTCTGTCAAACTACCCTCATTCTCCACCAGGCACGAGGGACCCCCAGGGCTGCGGGGCCATGCCTCCCACGCGGCAGGAACTGTGGAGACCACGAAGGTCAGAAGGAGCACGGTGGGACCTCCCAAGGCCAGACCTGGCCCTCTACCACACACCCCCATCCCATGGCTTGTCTCCCCACCAAACCCCTTCTCCCAACTGTCACACATCTGGTCCCCCCAACAGAAGCCTTACGCTCACCACGACTCATATACGACCGTCTAGCCACCCTCAAATCTGATGCATGCACACATGCACAGGCAGCCATGAGAGAAAGGCAGGTGCAAGGGGGTGAGGCCACAGGCCCCCCTAACCATGCATGAGCCCCTGCCCCATGCCAGCCAGCCAGCCATCTCCTCCAACTCACAGGCCTCCCGGGCTGATAGCTGCAGCTGCGTCTCATAGGTGCAGCCTCGATAGGCCCCGGAGCGGATCACCTTGCTGCGAATGGCCTTTTTGCGTACCAGTGTGGGAGAGCAGTAGGGGTTCCCCAGGCGAGTGTGACGGGTGCCCCCACGGCCCTCGGGCTCTGGCAGCTCCTTCTAGGGCACCAAGAGGGGCCCATGGGAAGGCAGATTCAGACCCATCTGCTTGAGCCCAGGTGAACCCTGAAAGAAGCCCACCCCTCCAGCATAACCCCCAGGCCCTCGATCCTTCCCCCATACACTGTCTGGGGCACTGCATACCCCACTACTGCCCAGTAGCCCTTCTGCAGGAATTCGCCGGAAGGAAACGAGGGCGTGGACATTCTGAGACAGCTGATCCCGGCTGAAGGGCTCTCGGACTAGGGCAGGGGGTGCTCCGGGGCTGCAGAGTGGCTTCGGGGACGTGTCCCCCGTAGGCCCCAGGCAGGGCTCAGGCTGCGCCCTCTCCTCAGGGTGTTGCAAGAGATAAGCAAGCTGGAAAGAGCGGCAGAGCAGCAGGTACAGGATGTGGACCTAGGACAGGAGGGGTGGGCTCAGCGGCAGCAGCCTCCGGGGAAGCCCCTCAGACACCAGTTCAGTCTTCAGGGCTGCAAGTGGCCCCCTGGCTTCGGGTGCCCCTCCCAAAACTTCCTGGGAAAAGTTCTACTTAGCCCTCAGAATCTCTCCACACTCAGCCCCCGCGGCCAGCTTGCTCTAGTCTGCTCACGACCAGGTCACTTTGTGCCAGGCACCACGCTGGGAGCACAGAGCCACGTACTCCTACATCAGCCTCACGTCCTCCCAGTGCTCAGGCCCTCAACACCTCCAGGTGAAGCAGCGAAGAGCCTTGGCCTGTCCCTGTTAGTTAGGAGCTGTTGGGTGACCCAGGGCAGAGCCTGGCACCGGTGCGCCTGTTTCTTCATCCTCACCTCCCCACAGTCCTCTGAGGAGTTGGTGAAATGGGGCACTGAAAACTCTCCACACTTGTCTGGGGCCTGAACACAGAACCCATCACTCACTCACACAGTCCAGACCCAGACAGCTTCAGCCACCTGTCACCCGGGGTCCACATCCAGAGATGAGACCAAATGTGTGAACTCACAAAATGACAGGGCTGCCACAGGTCTGCCATTCACAGTGACCACACCAGCTTTGACCTCTCGTATGCCTGCCTACGATCCACACAGGGCCACCTAAGACGGCTCAAAACCTGACCTGAGCCTCTGCTGTTAAAGGACTCCAGTGTCTGTCATCAGGCACAGCCCCATGCCGGAGTGTGTGGCTCATGTCACAGGCGGGCTGGGCTTAGGAGGGTGGTGGGGACTAGGCAGGATGAGGGAGGGCGGGCACTCCACGGCAGAGAAAAGTCCTAGCTAGCGCAGGGAGCGTCAAGGGCGCTGACACAACGCAGTCTTGGGAGGAAGGAAAAGCCAGTGTGGTGAAACACGGATTCGCCACTGCCACCTGACACAACACAACCCCTCAGGGCACACTGCCCTCTGGGTGTCGAGTACCTCTCCAGGCTGGCTCCCCACAAAGAGGTGGCAGTAAAGCTTGCTGGCTGGGCTGCGCGGGTTCCGGGCAACAAAAGCAAACTGACAGGCGGCTGGGCACCAGGTGGCATAGAGGACGCGCTTCAGGGCGTGGGCCATCAGGAGCACCTGTGAGGCATCGAGGTGACAGCAGGCCTCACCCACCTGTGTGGCAGTGGCCCGAGGGCCTCACAGATCTGGCATAAGCCACCCAGCTCCTGGAGCAGAGAGACCCTTCTTTCCCAGAGGCCCGCCAAGCCTCAGCCCTCAGCCCTCAGAGCTCTGGACCTGTTGCAGAGATGTAGTTCAGGATGGCCACCCAAGTTATGGAACCAAGGGACAGGGCAGTGACCCAGTGATCTCTAGCTGGAACCACACAGAGGCAGTGGCAGCAGGCCCTGGGGCTCTACACTGGTATCTGAGGTAGGATGCTCAGAGTTCAAATCCTAGCTCTGCCACTCTCTCCATGGGAGAGCCATCCCCCGAGTGTCTCTTGCTGTCATGTCAGATCGTAGCGATGCCTTGGGCAGGTGATGCAGGACTCCAGGGCACTACCGTACTCAGCACTGGGCCTTATATAAGAGGCCTGCAGCTGTGGGTTGCACAATCTGGCCTGGCTGTCCACGGGCAGCCATGCTGGGTGAACAGTGGGTAGCCAGTGAGGGACAGGTAAGCACACAAGGCTCCCAACCATTCCCAGCCCATGGCTGTCCCCAGCCACCAGCCAATACTGAACCAGACACTTGGAAAATCTCATGGGGTAGATGTCCCTGATCCTTAGGATAGAAGGTGGCCTCTAGAGAAGATTCTGGAGGGAGGGCCAGGGAAGCAATTGTTGTCTGAGCTTGTCCTAGAGGGGCGAACTGTAAAAAGACCACACCCCGTCTGGTCCTCACTGCCCCAGCCTCTCCTACTCCTCCTACCTCGTCCTCCCCACTGTAGACCTTGAGACCCTGAAGGCTGAATTTCAGGATGACAGCACGGCGTCGGGAACAGTCCTGAGGGGAAGAGAGTTGGCAAAGACAAGCATCACTTCTAGTTCTGGCCCAATGCAGTCATGCCACAGTGCCCCTCATCAAGGCTGCTCAGCCAGTTCCAACACCCCTGCCCAGGGACAGAGACGTGGGTAGCAGATCCCCAGCAGTCATGCTGTGACCTGTGGGGCATGGGTCCCCAGGATCTAGGAAGAAGTAGTTCCTGAAGCCTGGAACTACTGGGTGACCTCACGGAAGACCCTTGGTCCCACTCTCCCTGAGTCTCATGTGCCCCCATCTGGAAGATGTAGGGGTGGGAGACTTGCCGCTCCACCCAAGCCTGATGTCCATGGTGCCCAATTTGGGGTTGTGCTCCCCAAGTCCCTCACCTGCAGTGCCCACAGCTGCTGCTGTACCAAGTACACACCCTCCTGCGTGTCCAAGTCCTCCACAGGAAAGGACCCCACGTACTGTGGTGATGGGGAGAAGCAAGACAGGGAGGGGCGTGAGGGCCGCAACGCCAGTGCACACAGCATTCCACCCTGCAGGCAAGGCAGTGACCGAGCACTGTCCTCGGAGGCCAGTGTCCGAGTTAAAGTTCTTAGCAGGTGACCCTGGCCAGGTCACATGGGCCTCATCTTGTCATCTGCTCGTGTACACACATTCACTCCAAAAGAGAAGGAGTTAGGTACTTGGGCCCCAAGTCCTCCTCAACCCCAGGGAGTAGCCACCCCACAACTGTCTTCCAGAGCATACAAGACGGACGACACCCACCCACCTGGGCAAACTTGGCAATGCACCTGGGCCGGTGAGGTGCGGGCCCACAGTCGGAGGCCCTGCGGGCCCCGGCCCCGGCCCTCTGCATGGTCCCCAGCGTGCCCAGCTTGAAGCTCCGCGGAGAGAAGGCTACGAAGGGCAGGGGAGAGGTTGGTTTTCAGGCAGGGTGATGGCTCCCTGTCAGGTGTTTTCATTCTTTTGCTTGTTCAAAGACTCATTCATTCATAACCAACAACTCTTCACTGAGCGCCTGCTATGTGCCCATCACCGTCCTGGGCACGGGACAGAGACAAAAGACAAACTCTGCCTGCTTCTGAGAACAGCATTCTTGGGGAATATGATGGGAAACTAAATGAGGAGCCTTAGACAGGCGAGATGGAGGGGGTGCAACACGTGGGGCTGAGACTCGACGGCTAAAAGCTGCAGCGGGGGGGGGGGGTTGGGGAGGGCTCGTCCACAGGTGGGATGGCTCATGGCACAGGCCACTGAGCTACAGATAGGGCTGCAGTGCTGGCAGGGCCCTCTGTGGTGAGGGAAGCCGGTAGAAATTTGGAAGCAGCTCTTATATAGTTCTAGAAGGAAACTAGTGTTTGCCGGTAGTTCTGTCTTCTCGGGAGGCTGAGGCAGGAGGGCCAGAATCATTTGAAACCAGGAGTTCAGGGTCAGTGTGGACAATATAAGATCCCCATCTCAAGAGGAAAAGGAAAAGGTGTCATGGAAAAAACAGAACGATCTGGGAATGAACCACGAAGGGAGGGGGCGGCAGTGAGAAGGGAGGCACAAAAAAGTGTGCTGTGGCCTGAGGAAGACCTGAGGTAGAGCGCCAAAACAGCAGGCTGCATCCGACTGAGGAATGAGACTTTACCCGGTGCACGATGGGGAGCCATCGCAAGCCTTAGGACATCAACAGTGCATGGGGGCCCAGGGCTGGTGGGGCCCAGGGCTGGTGGTGAACTGGGTGTCGAGCATTGACGATATCGGGAACCGGTTTTAAAGGCAGCTGGCTCATATGTCCAGCCTGACTCCAGTCCCTTCCCGAATCCCAAAGCCCTTTGAGGGTATGAAAACCACAATCCACCCAAATGATGTACAGGTACTAAGTAGGATGCAAAAAACACAGACATGGGCTGAAGAGATGGCTCAGAGGTTAAGAGCACTGACTGTTCTTCCAGAGGTCCTGAGTTCAATTCCCACCAACCACATGGTGGCTCACAACCACCTATAACAGGGCCTGATGCCCTCTTCTGGCCTGCATGTATGCATGCAGAGCACTCATATTCATAAAATACAAATACAATAACATCGTTTAAAAAAAAAAAAACAAGATGAACAGCTGCCCAGGAGACTGACAAAGAGAACTCCTGTCTTGCCCCTATTTTGTTTTTTTCTGGAACCCTTGACCAGACCACAGAGGGAGGGGTGAGCGGAAGTCATGTGGAAAGATGTGTAATGGGCTAGCTACTGTGAGGTCCCCTCAGATGCAGCTCCTTCTCTCCTATTTGTAGCAGCAATGACTGACTTGGGTCGGAGAGGCCTGGGCACAGGTTCTGTGTAGCTTTGGGCCAGCTGCCCTACCTCTCTGTGTCCTCACTCCCTCGCCTGCAAACCTTGGGTAACGTGAGGTGCCTGGCACGACGCCAACCTGACATGGCACAGGGGATGAGACCCCCAAGCCTGCAGGTAGGGAGCTCGGGAAGACAGTAGAGTCTAGCGCTTTCAAGATTCTTTCTGTCCAGGCTACGCTGACTGGAGACCCTCCCCACCAGTGAGAGTAAGTCTGACAAGGTTGGCCTGGAGGCTCTGACTCCCCAGGAGAGACCAGGGGTTAGTAATATGGCCTGGGTGTGCCAAGCGTGCCTGGAAAGGGAGAGGCTTTGGGTGCCTTAAAATTGATGCTCTCAGAACCCAGGAAGGGTCCTATGCCTCTGCCTGCTTGTGACCTTTGAGCCCAGGCTCAAGCCAGGGAGCAGAGGCCAGCAGGCATTTACAGCTTTCATCCAGCTGGGAAACAAAGGCTGCAGCCTCCCCTCAGAGCCCAGCTAGCCCTCCTCGAGGTTGCTGCCAACCTGTGTTCTGAGCCTCCCTTTCTAATCCTGCTCATTTTTCAGTCGCCTGTCCCAATGGCACATCTGATGTTTGCGGAAAGCAAACCACATTCCACCTGCCACGCTGCCCACCCCTTCCCAGCAGGGGGACGCGGCTCCCAGGGAGGCAGTGAAGTGCTTCTTCACTTTCAGAGCCGGCAGAGGAGAGCAGGAGGCCAAGACCACAGCAGGCAGTGAGATCCACAAGGCTGGGGGGTGGGAGTGGGGTGGAGGAACAGGATGAGAAGAGAAGCAACCACAAAAGAGACAACGAGAGCTGACGAGAGCCCTTCCCGGGTCACTCAGTCCCGCAAGCACCAGGTAAAGGAGAAAAGAAGGGAGGGTCAGCTTGCTGAGTCTGTATGTGTGTCTGTGTGTGAGTGTGAGTGTGTGTGTTTGCAGTGGATGGGGGTGAGGGGTTGGACAGCCCCTTTCCAGTATCTGGTCCTTCCCCCATCCTGGTCATAGTTAGCCTTCCCAGAAACAGGAACTTTGTCCTTTCTCCTGCCTCCCTTCCAGTCTGATCCTGCCAGACACCAAGGAGGACACCAGGGCTCACCAAAACCCTGGTAACAACTGCTCATCTCTTTGAATCAAATCAAAGTTTTCCACAGGGGTCTTCTGGTCCAGGATTCTAATACTGAAAGACACATTTGGGATGGAGCTGGGATTCTGCTTTCTGGGTGATTCTGCTTAGGAGCAGGGAACTGGCTAGGTTGATCCTCTACTTCACATCCAATCTTAGGTCCCTCTACACATTATAGCCGAACTATCCATCCCCCCAGCTACTTGACCAAAGGCACACAGCACAGGATAGGGAGCTGGCAAACCCATAACTCTCTGCCTAGGCATGGCAGCGCCCTTCTACCTAGGGTCTATGGATCCCCCAAGCAGGCGTCCATCCTTGGTACACACTGGGTCTGTGCAGGAATAGGTGCTGCGGGACCCCATAAGCCCGTAACAACTCAGGTGCTGGGGATGCAACTGTTTAGAAAGGCAGGACTCCCTTCTCCCATGTCCAGCACACCCCTGATTACCCACCCCCAACATATACGCAACCGGGGACAGAACTGGGGTTCAGCAGGGTTGGCTGGTGTGACCTTGGACCGCCAGCCTCCAGTTCCTCCGCTGTGGAGGGGACCCGCCGCGAAGACAGCCACGTCCTGGGGCTGTTCAGCCTCTGTTCCTCACGATTATCTATCTGGACGCGCCGAGCACCCTGGCTGGATGCGGAAGACACCGACACGATTGCGAACGGAGATGCGGAGCGCGAGCGAGCGCTGACAGCGACCTCGCAAGCGTCACCGTCCCTACATTAGGTTTTCGGGGGACTCAGGTGCTCTGGCGCCAGGAAGGAAGGGATGGAGAGGAGGGCTGAGATGGTAGCAAAAGCCCGTGGCGGGAGGTGGGGGTGCGGTTCGCTTCTGGGAGACCCTCCCGGTCCCTGTCCGCCCCCGGAGGGTCCCCGCGAGCACTCACCGCTGCGCGGCGCCTCTAGGCAGGTCTCACAGCTTCGGACCCCTCAGCCTGAACGCCTACCCAGTGCCGCGACCGCCCCGCCCCCGCCCCTGCGCCCCCCACGTGGCCCCGGGACCCGACCCTCTGTATCACCTGGCGGCCGCCGCGGCCTTACCAGCCAATCAGAGCCAGCGGAGTCCTCCGCTTGGCCTCGCCTCCCAATCAGAGGCGGCAAGGGTCCCTGGCTCCGCCCACGCCGCGTCTCGGGCTGGCTCCTCCTTGTTGCTCCTCCTCCGAGAAGCCATCCTAAGCCGCAGAGTTCAAGGCCTCAACACTTGCGTGGTACTTGGAGCACGAGGGTACCCATCTCCACTGCAGGACCCAGCTGCGCTCGGTTGCTCCATGACCACGCAGTTCACTTTCACACGCAAATGGCAGAGGACTTGGTGACATGTATTCCCTTCCCGTGGGAGGATTCACTGGGCTGCTCCTCCGGGGTCCCGCACAGAGCTCTGACTCAGTCCTTAGGACCTCACGGAAATCCACTTAGCTGGGGAAATGATGAGTTAGCCAGCGCGCGCGGGCAAGGCCCAAATAAATCGCAAATCCAAGCCAGGCAAGCACTTCAGGTGTATTAAACCCGAAATCCGCAGAGAGAATGCATCAGAACCTGCCCGTGCCCCGGGGTTCTGGCCAAGGTGGGGAGTAACTGTTGTCCCCATCCACGGGACATCTGGACAGATGACACAGTGAGAAGGTGGACCCGAATCTGCTACTTCAGAGGAGTTCCCTGGGGCTTTCCTTGTCTCTACAGTGCCCCTGGCACCATTACATAGTCAACAGTGAGGTGTAATCCTCAGAGGCCTAAACCACAAAGGGCACTTCCTCGCTCTGAAGTGGGGCTTGGGTAAACACTTTAATTGGTCAATCTTCCAGGGTCTCTCCAACAAGGTTGTTGCCACCCTGACTCAATCAGGTGAGGACGGGAAGGCACTGGCAGAGGCACAGGACTTGATCAGGCACTGGCCTGGTAAGTGAAGGGTCAGTAAATAGCGGTGATACTACTAGCCTTCAGTTTCTTTTGTCTGTGACCTGGTATTTACCAACTCCCCTGTGCTGTGTGCTAAGGGACCTAGCTGACAGTCTCTAAGCTAGGATCAAGAAGGAGCATCGTAGCAAACTCAGCCTACCAAACTAGCAACTCAGGATACATAAAAATGAACAAGCTAACTCCCAACTCTTAAAAAGAGATAAATATTTGGAGCACTTTACATCATTTATTATTTTTAATTTAGATGTATTTTTAATTGTGAGCTACGGCGGTTCATTCCTTTCTTCATTTTATTTTTATCTGTAGGCTGTTTTGCCTGCTTGTATGTCTGTGCACCATGTACATGCCTGATAACCCTTGCAAGCCAGCAGAGGGAGTCACATTCCCAAAACTGGAGTTAAAAACAGTTGTGAGCTGACATGTGGGTGCTAAGAATTGAACCCACGTCCTCTGGAAGAGCAATCACTTAGTCATTTCTCCACCCAGATTTATGAGTATTTTGTCTGCATGTATGTAGGCATGCATGCATGCCTGTGTCTCTCAGAGAACAGAAGAGGGGGCCACGCCTCTGGAACTAGAGGTACAAATGGTTGTTTGTCACCATGTGGGTACTAAGAATACAACCCAGGTCCTCTGCATGGGCAACATCTCCCCAGCCCCTGAAATAAATACTTTCTTTTTTTTAAAGAAAGGAAAAACTGGCTGGAGACACTAAACTTCAGTGGTAGAGCATTTCTCAGGCACACATAAGGCTGAGTTCAATTCCTAGCACAAAAACAAAAAAACAGGCAAGATGGCTCTCAGGGTAAGGTTAAGGGACCTACTGCCAAGGCTAATGACCTGAGTTCAATCCTTAGGACCCACATTGTGGAAGAAGACAACTCCTAACAAGTCCTCTGCCTTTCAAATGCCCACAATCTCACATGTGCATACACAAATAATAATAAAATGTAATCATCGTCGTCGTCGTCCTATAGGCTGCAGAGGCTCAGTGGTTAAGAGATCCCAAGTCAGTTCCCAGCACCGAAATGGTGTTTCACAACCATCTGTAATTCCGGGTCCAAGGGAATCCAACACTGTTTTCTGGCTGCCTTGGGCGTCAGGCACATGTGGTACAATGACACACACGAAGACAAAACACCCATACACATAAAATCCAAACAAACAAAATCCTACATGCTCAAAGAGTTACATGAAAGGTGACAATCTTTGGAGGTGCCAGCCATCTCTGGGAAAGCTATGGTCCCACTGAGAACTGCCTCATCTGCCACGTGTCTAACCCTGCGTTCCTAACAGCAAACTCTCTGGAGCTGCCAGAACAGCACTTGAGCTGGATGGGTGACTCACCTGCACAGGAAGCCTGGTGTTACCCACACTAAGCATGGAGAGGGGTATCAAAAGAAAGACAGGCTGGGGCGGGAGTCATGATTGCCAAACGCATTAGTGCTCACCTTGCAAGTCACGGTTATTTCCTGATGAGTCAGTGACAGTCACTAAACCACAAAGGTGGGAGCCTGCTATCACAGTCTCCCCTTTTATCGAAAATCCCGGAATCTGGCTGTGCGCTTGCCAGCTGATGAATGCGAGTGGGAGTAACTGCACATCAGGCGAGAGCTGCTCTCCAGCTGCTA